CTCTCTGCAGGCCCCCGCGAGGCCCAGGGCATCACCGAGTGGCTGAAGCGGCGAGTGGGGCCCAGCGCCACCCGGCTGGAGGACGAGGAGGGCGCCCAGGCGCTGATCGAGGCCAGGGACGTGGTGGTCATTGGCTTTTTCCAGGTGAGCTGGGCACGGGCCAGGCTGGCGTGGGAGCAGGGCCCGCGGTGCCAGCTGGCCTCACCTGGCTGGGCGCCTTAGGACTTGCAGGACGAGGATGTGGCCACCTTCCTGGCCCTGGCCCAGGACGCTCTGGACATGACCTTTGGCCTCACGGACCGGCCGCAGCTCTTTCAGAAGTTTGGCCTCACCCAGGACAGCGTGGTCCTCTTCAAGAAGGTGGGTCCAGGCTGGGGTCGGGGGTGTCCAGGTCGACGCGGCAGGTCCCGTTGACCCACCTGACACTCCAGTTTGACGAGGGCCGGGCAGACTTCCCAGTGGACGTGGAGCTGGGCCTGGACTTGGGGGACCTGTCCCACTTCCTCCTCACGCACAGCCTGCGCCTGGTCACGGAGTTCAACAGCGAGGCAAGCGGGGTCTCACCTGGGGGTCCCGGGCGGGCGAGGGGAGTGGGCGGGGCGAGTGGTGCGGAGCAGGCAGGGGCGTGGCGAATGGGTGTGGGCGTGGCGAGCGTGGCAGTGGGCGGGGCGAGAGGGGACGCGGGAGGGGTGGAGCGGGCAGGGGCACCCTGCGGAGCTGACCGCAGCGCCTGCCCTCCGCAGACCTCACCTAAGATCTTTGCAGCCAAGATCCTCAACCACCTGCTGCTGTTTGTCAACCAGACACTAGCCCCACACCGGGAGCTGCTGACGGGCTTCCGGGAGGCGGCTCCCCCATTCCGGGGGCAGGTACTGGCTGGGTCTAGGGCCCGGGCAGTGGGAAGCCGGGTGCCCAGCCCTGACGCCCCGCTGGCAGGTGCTGTTCGTGGTGGTGGACATCGCGGCTGACAACAGCCACGTGCTGCAGTACTTCGGCCTCAGGGCCGAGGAGGCCCCCACTCTGCGCTTCATCAACATGGAGACCACCAAGAAGTACGCGCCTGCAGCGGGTGGGCCACTCAGCGCGGACTCGGTGGCCGCCTTCTGCCACGCTGTCCTGGGCGGCCAGATCAAGGTGGGCCAGGGCTGGGGGCGGGGGAGGGCGGGATGGGGTGCAGCAGACCCCCAGGAGGTGCCGCTCGTCCCCAGCCTTATCTGCTGAGCCAGGACGTCCCTCCCGACTGGGACCAGAGGCCAGTCAAGACCCTCGTGGGCAAGAATTTTGAGCAGGTGGCTTTTGACGAAAC